CGTGGCTTACAACAAGTGCTCAATAAATGTGTGCACAGGGCACCTATCTGTCCTTTCAATAGACGAAAGCAGAAAACCACATGATTCACTGGTTGTATTTTACAAACTAAGGGAAAGGAGGGACGTCCGAAGTTCTTTTTAAATTCTCTTTCTTTCTGATATAAGAAACATTTCGGAGAAGGGCAATTAGAGTCTAGCTGTGTGCGGCAGGGAGTGGAAAGGCCAAGTCAAGCCAGGATGCTGGGTCCAGGCCTGCAGCTGCCCACCCTAAAATGTTGGGGAAACAGGCAGCCCCCACCTACACAGATGCCACCCTTGGCAGCCCTGGGTTCAAGTGCTGCACACTGGACAGGGCAGATGACCTCTTCATTCCATGACTTCCTGGCCCGAGAAAACTGATCTGCCCTGTCCTTACCAACTGGAGGCTCCTGTGCATGGAACGGGCATTCAGCAAATAGTTGTGGAGTGAGTGAATGGACTCAACTGGGACCCAATACCCTACTAAGCCATGGAAAGCCTGCTGCCAAGTTCAGCCAAGGGCAGCCAAGCACACGAGGTAAAAGCAGCCGGAGTGTTACTCGGGGTAGGGCCGGCCTGGCTGAGCTGGGTAAGGCTGCAGGTCCCAAAGGTCCGTCCCATCTCATCTGGGACTTTTCTATCCCTTCCTCCTCCTCCATCCCAGTTCCTCTTGATTGACAGCAGTTGCTGGCTCTGACATGGTTTAAAAATAGATATTAAGACCAGGAAGTTTAATTTTTAATGCTTTGGAAATGAACACAGAGTTGGCATTCTCTCACGGCCACGTTCCAAGGGTCCCTCGGGGTTTCCACCAGAACCTTCTTCATCTTGCTTCTTGACCCCAGCAGACAGACCTGGCCCCACCCCACTTCTGAAAGGTCTGCTTGTAGCAGCCTCCCAGGGGAACATCCCTCACTCTCAAGCACTATGGGAAATCCCTAAATGTCTCTCCCTGTGCTGCCTGAGAGAGCAGGTGAGGCCAAGTCCTAACCTGAACTTCTAAGTTCCCTCACACCAGAGGGTACCCCACTAATTAATTCTCTCTGGCACTGTAGGTTTCCTTACATTCTCTGCACAGAACTTAGTCTCGAGCCCACAGAGGCCATGCTGGTGTGGAATGTATGCAGCTAACGCAGCAGAGAGGACTGCCCTGGACAACAGCACCCCAAGACTGCAGACAGCAGGGGCCTGGCTGTCAGGGCGGTTAGTGGGAGCCCCGCCTGGCACTCTCCTGTGGCAGCTCCACGTCTACTTTTCCCTTGCTCTAGCTGGCACACCCCACATTGTCTCCCCTGCTACTAATTGGCCTTCATAAAAGGAGCAATCCACAAGGAGCAGGCTTCCAAAGGGACAGGGGTGTCACTGCACTGCCAGCCAGGATTAAAGTGATAGAACACCTCTGCTGGCAAGCAAGAAAAGGGACTCATCCTGAGTGGCAGTTAGGGTACCCATCAGCTGCAGTCCCTCCCTCTCAGACAGCAACAGGATTCAGGTCAGGGGACTGGGCTGGGGTCTGGATTTGCTAGCCACAGCATGCAGAGATCCCGCTTGCCCACTCTAGTATCTGTGTTCTCTCTCTCTCTCTCTCTCTCTCTCTCTCTCTCTCTCTCTCTCTCTCTCTCTCTCTCTCTCTCTCTCTCTCTCTCTCTCTCTCTCTCTCTGTGTGTGTGTGTGTGTGTGTGTGTGTGTGTGTGTGTGTGTGTGTGTGTGTGTGTGTGTCTCTGTCTCTCTCCCTTCACAGGACCCGGAGGTGTATGGGGTAAAGGAAACTTTTGTAGACTACAGCCCTCCCATTCCTGTCCATCAAGAAGCCAGATTTCTCTGTGGCCCTGAGAATCAGGATGGGGATGTGTGTGGAAAGGACCAAGAGGAGGGGGTGACCACATATGCCCCTCCTTTATTCTCTCCACCTATGTCAGTTTCCCCAGACAAGCAGCCCTCCTGGGTGCCCCAGGCTCCCATGGTGCACTGGGCCGCCTACCAGGCTAGAACTGTCTGGCTGAAGCCAGCATGCCAGGAACAGACCTGGACCCCCACCAGCAGGCAGGCGCCCAGCAGCCCGGGAGGCACCTGCCCTTTTCTTAGTAAGAAAGACTAAGCATGAACAGCACAACCCTGCCTCCATCCTACCCCTAGGGACATCACAGGACCATCACCAACACCACCCACCGCCCTCAAAGCTCCACCCAATGGTGAGGACTCCTCAGTCAATGGGGGCTGCAGTGTAAGTCCACCAGAACCACACTGAGCCAGGACTCCTCCAGAGGCTCCACCATAGGGGGTGTGGCACTGTGTCTGGATGCATGAGAAATTCTTATTGATTTAGGGGGGGAGCCTCTCTAGAGCTCTTGAGCCACTAAAGAAAGTGATGGCTGAGTAACTCTACTTCCTGGTCTAGTGGGCGAGCCTTCCTCACTCCACTGTCTCCACTTCCTGCTGCGCCCCCACTCAGTATGGCAGCAGCAGCAGCAAAGGCCTCCAGGGAACCCGCTGCATCCACAACCATGCGTCTCCCTTCAGCCACCCCTTTCTTCTGCTCCACCCCTACAGGGAGCTGAGAAGCACATGCCTGGAGGAAGTCTCACCTGAGTACAGCATGGTGACCACCATCCCCAGAGCCCCAGAGCCCCCCCCAGAAACCACTGGAAAACACACTGCGGTTCTGCTGTGCTCCCACCTTTCCTAAGTCCACGTTCCATCTCAGCGCCGCATGTGGTGGTGGCATTAAAAAAACAACACGTCCCTGAAACTCAACTCACTCTTGCTTGTGGTTTGTCACAGGAATTCTGAAAATACTAAGCAATTACAAAGTCAAGGGGTGGGACCGTGCAGCTCTTCCACCAGGGAAGAGCTCTAATTGGGGCCAGGCAGTAAGAACTCTAGTTCTGACTACACTAGAAAGGGCAGGCACATCAACAGACTGGCTTGCAGAGGAACTGCTGCCACACTTACAGAAAAGACAGACTCACTCCTCACACAACAGCTTAAAGTGCAGTTTTGATACCTAACTTCTCTTCCCCAATTACTTGGGACTTGGGGATTCCAACCACGTAACACCACGCTGTGATCCACTCCTGAGACTCACTCCTGAGACTCACTCCATTGGGTTGCTTACAGAAGTATTGCAGGTCCCTGCTGTGTTCATGACACAGATCCTAGTCTGCAAAAACCAAGCTAGATTCATTCTGAAGGCATCACAAGCAGTTATACCAACTGCGGCCAGCAGGCGGCGAGGTGAAGGTGGCCAGGAGCTGTAGAGTGGGAGTCACTCACTGGCCAAAAGGCACTATGCATTCCCGCCCACAGAGTCTTCATATATAATTAATACATGTGCAGTGGGGCGAACCAGAAAGGTGGCTGAAGTTATGAGACAGGAAAGAGAAGGTTGCAGCATTCGTGTGGACCAGGACACCAAGAAAACACAAGTACTGGGCTGACACAGATCCTGGCAAAGGAACAGAGAGAGCAGAAGGCACTGGCCCACAAAACAGTGACAGAGTCATTCTTAACATTCCGATGGTTCTCATCACCAGAAAGAGAATGGGAATATCTGCCCCCAGCTTTCCTAAAACTCCAACCACGTGACAGGTGACACTAATCACAGTCTGCGCCCCCCTCCAAGACTATAGAAAGCCCCCCCCAGCAAGACTATGGAAAGATCTAGCAGAAGCCGCCTCATCTCAGACCAGGCTCTCAGGAAAAGAAACAGATACCCTCGGTGACCACCCTGGTGAGCCCCCCCCCCAGGATACCACACAGTAAGGACGTGAAGGAGACCCTCCTAACAGCCTGGACTGGAGAAGGAGTCCCAACCATAAGGGACACTGAGTCACTCAAGGTCACACAAGAAAGAATCTAACAAAGAATGGAAACCAGACAAGACTCAATGATTCTTCTTCCTTCACAGTCTAGAACTTCCCCTTCCCCAGAAAAGTTGCCCTCTACACGCATGGGCACGCGTGTACTCGAGTGCATGCACACATACACACAGACACACAAAAGTTCTTCTTAAAAGTAGGTCAGTCCACAGAAGCTGCACACTGCTCCACCTCACTGGGGATATCTTTCCCCTGTTCTCAGGCTGCTCCTAGACCATGCATGGCAGCTGACAGCCTCCAGCCAGTGGCCGGGACAGAACCTGGGGATGAGCCAAACATCTGTGCTGAGTGTTCTGAGCTCTGGTGAGGAAAGGCAGAGGCAGTAGTAAGAATGAAAGAATCGATATGAATTTGAGAAGTTTTCATCCAGTTAGTGTATGCACAATCACGGGGGGGGGGATATTCATCAGATGGCGTATTTCCAAGCCAGCCCATCTAAAAGACACATTCTCCAGGAAAAAAAAAAAGTCATCTCTCATCAAGGACAGGGGCACCACTGCCTAGGCATCTTCCTTTGTCCCTTCTTGTCCTGGAGTCTCCTGGAGCCTGGGAAAGTGTGGCCAGACTGCTGGCTGCCCAGTCCTCGGCAATCCTTCCAAACCCTACCCCGTATGGTTGCCTCCTCCTTCTCCTGGGAACCACGGAAATGAACCGGAGACTGACCTCCACCCTCCATCCCACTCCCTCAATGCTGCAGACTGGCGGCTCTCCTGCATTTAGGAACAACAGAAGAAACTCAGATACCATCCTCACATCCTCACGGTGTCTCCCACCAAGGCAGCCCCACAGCTGCTCCAAGTCTGACCCACACCCACTGATGCAGGTACTTCAGCGTGGCTTCTCTTAGGTGGGGAACGAGACAGTGGCAAACTTTGCCGGCCTCCTAGGAGCAGACCATGTCTCTCCTGGAAGCCCGACAAGTTGGAGCCTCCATTCAGCCATGGATGAGAGGGGAGAAAAGAAGAGAAAAATGCAAAAAGAGGCATGTAATTTTTTAAGCACTTACCTTCGAGTAGAAAAGGGAACGATGCAGCTAGGAGGTGGAAAAGGGTATTCGCAGTGTGGAAAGCAAGGAGAGGGAGCAACTCAACCTTAAGGACTTACCCAGAATATCAAATTGAAGAGGAACATCATGTACTTCAAGCAGCAGAGGCAGCCCCGGGCCATGTTGCACTTCTTAAATTCTAGGAGGAACACAAAGGACAGGTCCAGGTAAAACACCACGTACTTGCTGCCTTTGGGAGCATTGTACTTGTCAGTCTTAACGCCGGCCTCCGTGTGGCTCTGACCCCGAGAACCCGCGGTGCCGTAGAAGGCGCCAGCCGTGAAGCCGCGGCCGAACGGGCGGCCAGAGGTGGACGGTTTGGCAAAGTCCGAGTCCTTGCTGTCCAAAGATGGACTCCGGTGGAGCGAAGAATCCTCACTACTCGACTTCTCCATGCTCATGTCTTTCCCGGGGGTCACGAGGGACGGGGGGCATTGCTCCCAGAGTGGGACAGAGGGGGCACCCCGATCGGGCACAGGTTCTTAGCGGGAGGACCCTAGGAGCTTTGCACGCCCCCTCTCTGCACCGGAGAGCACTCGCGGAGCAGCCCGCTGCCGGGGAACCGCTGCCTCTGGGACGGCACCCGGCTCCCAGCCTTAGCTTGCTGGCCTTGGAGGGCTCTGCGGCACCGCTCGAAACACGCTTCGGGGAGCCGCCGGATCGCCTGCGTTAACTAGGCTTCTTTGGGGAGGCTGCAATTTGACTGCTCTTTCCCAGGCGGCTACACTCGAGGCCGGGATCCAGGCTCCGCAGGCACGCCTCTTCCAGTCCAGACCCAGCCTGAAGCCCCACCACTTTGCGGGCTTTCGGCCTCCCTTGCTCCGCGACTTTGCGGAGCCGCTGCCGGCCCTGCGCTGCCCGGGCGCACCAGGGGCAGAGCCTCGGGATCCGCCGCAGCTGCAACGGCTGGGCTTGCCCGGCGAAATCCCAGCCCTGACTCTCCACACTGAAATCGCCTAGAGCCCCTTCCCCGGGCTCTGGGCCCCGCCCCCTGCTTTGCATCCGACCAATGGGCTCAAGGCCTGTCTGGCTCCTGTGGGGGAGCTACCCCCCTCCCCAATGACACAATATCTTTTATAGGATTAGCGGTCTGCTGTGTGCCTAAACCAGTGTGCCTTTAAATGTCAAGGGCTCAGAGGCTGGGAACGAAGCAGCACCTCCATGGGAAAGCACTGGCTTTTTTTGCCCCAGCAAGGGCAGCGAGAAATGGGGGACAGCTGGAGTTATCAAGGATCCAAAAAAGCCAGAGGAGAGGTCTGGGGAGAAAGGCTGGAAGGGAAAGAAACGTGGCCACTATCAGGTTGGCCGCCGCATCCTATGAACATCGGGTCTGTCCAGCCTGGGGCACATGGTCGGTCTCAAGCAGTACCTGTATTACACACGCCTGCCTACACACACACACACACACACACACACACACACACACACACACACACACACACACACACACACACCACGCTTTTGCACACGTGAGAATGCCTACAGCACACCGGTAAAGGGACCGCAGAACATACGCAAGGTGTAGGGAAGCGCCCCCAGGCCTCCGCGGGGCGCGCCACCCTCCCCGCCCCCTCTACGCGCACACGCAAGCGCGGCTCCGAGAGATTCCTGCAGCTGCGCGAGCCCCCGCCTTTGCGTTCCTGAGTGGGACGCCAGGGCTGCAAGGGGCAGGTGGTTCGAGGGGGGCACTACTTATACCGGCAGTAGAACAAGGTAGTAGTGCTCTTGGTCACAGCTTTTCTGGGACCTCTTGGAGCCCGAGGTCCCAGTAAAGACAGGAGGAATGTGCCTGCCAGGGGAGCAGCCCACCAGCCCTTGACTCTCTTAAAAAGCGCTGCAATAAGGACAGCCTCCCCTGGGCTTGTGCAGAAGTCTGCATTGCTGACCTGGGGCCACCACGGTTTGCAAATGATGAGAAATAGAAAACTGGGAGGGGTGGGGGGAGAGACAGAGACTAAGTCTCTCCTTTGTGTCGCTGACTCCCTTGTGGGAAGCTAAGTTTTACCAGGTTCTGAACCCCAGCATCTAACAAAGGGCTCGGCTTTTGGAAGGCACTCTATAGGGATGGCTAAATGGATGAATCCATGCCCTTCCAGGAGGCAGAGGTGCCTAACCTGGAACCCTCAACCCTCTATCCTAAGCCCCAAGGGGGAGCCCTTGAGGAAGCAGAGGAGTGCCACTGCCTGCCCTCCGGGCAGTAAAAAATCAGGTAGGACAGTTATTCATTACCGAGGAGGCACAGATGGACACAGCTGGCCATGGCTGTGCAGCGAGGGAGACAGTAATTCCACCTAGGGGGACTTCATCTTCACTTGCCCCCACCCTAGAGGTGATAATTCTGATATCTGGAGTGGCTCCTTTACAGAAACTGTATGGTTCTCACCCTTCTGGGCACCTTCTGAAGCCAAGGGGAGCCCAGCAGCAGAGCTCTGCGTGAACAGCCACCAGCAGCAAGCCTCTCCCCTGTTGGGCCAATGGGATGCCGTCTGCAGACAGGGGGGCAGACGTCTGGCTGTCAGGTTCCTGTGTGAGCACCAAGCACCCTGAGCAGAATGGCTAAGGCCTTCTGTCCCCTGCAGCCTCACTTGACTGCTCAAGGGAGCATGCACGGTCGCCTCTTCTTTCTTATAACATTAGTGCTGATGGGGGCATCCACCAGCTGGGTCAGAGCCAGAAGACCTGCTCTTCCCTGGCAGCTCGCACCGGCCTGGCTACCATTCCTCCTGTCAGTGTGGAGTTCGGGATGTGTTGTGTGTGATGTGAACCAACAGGTGAGGCCAGCCAGAGTGGATGGGGAAAGGGTGAGGTGTCACCAAGGATCCCCCCAGTGCTGGCCCCGCCCTGTTATCTTCTCCCATCCCTTCTCCGGGCTCATACCTGCACCAGTCATACCAGTCTCCCTGGTCCCTGGCTGCCCCGTCATCGTGTGATTAGAAATGAATGTATACCTCTGGGGCTTGGGAGCTGAAAGCCAAGTGGCATAGGCAGACAAGAGAAGACTGCCCAGTGCCACAGCCCTGCTCCCCCTGGCCACACGTGTCAAAGCTACAATGAAGTCTCACCATGACACCCAGCTGAGTCACTATCAGACTAAGAAGATCGAATACAATCCACCATCCCTTCCATCCCCAGGCTGACCCTACCACGTAAGTGTGGTGACCGTCCCATTTTACAGAGAAGGAATGGCGGCTTGGGTGTGCTTTCCAGGCCTGTGTGCCATCCTCTCTTGGATTTTAAGCACTTGCTGCTCTTGGCAGTCTTCCAGTCTAACAGAGTCTTAGAGCACAACAGGGAGCCTGAGGTGGCATGTCCTGATGGCTAGGGGGTCATTAGGAAGAAGGATACTGAATTATAGGGACCAGGGAAGAAGATGGCTGAGGTGATGCTCTGGACAGATAATCAGCAAAGCCCTGAGGGCTGTCACTAAGAATGGAGAGAGGGAAGTGCAGAGGAATGCAGTGAGGAAGTCGGGGGATGCGCCCTATCTTAGGACCAGGGCAGATGGAGCCAGAATAATCCATTCCTGCCCTCTGCCCCCTTGAGGAAACTGTCCACTAGAGACAGATGGGTCACTAGGAGCAGATCCTTGAGCATAAATTCCAGGATGAATGGGACAACCCAGGAATCTGTGGACCTCACCACCCAGCTGTGGAAGCCAGCCTTCTACCCTGACTCCATCAGCACCCAGGGCATTCATTCCAACAGAACAATGTAGAACCCCACGGCAGGCTAAGTGGGGAGCTACCCTCTGGCTCTACTTTAGACCAGGTCTCTTTGAAGTGGGTAGGGGAAGAAGGGCTTGAGTGTTGTCCACTCAGGACGCAATGAGGGGACAAGCCAGGGTGTGAGCAGGGGCTACTCTGCATGCTACACACAGGGCATGTCAAAGTTGGATCTATGTTCTGCAACTTCCCAGGCAGCCAGGTCTATGGCCACCATGGGACCCAGGAAACTGAGCCTGGCAGCAGGGGATAAAAGAAAGAGAAGGAAAGGCTAGCAGCTGAGGGTGCCACAGTTCCTTTGATTTAGGATGCAGAAGGAGCAACCAGGTGATGGGAGACGCTGACTCCCAGGCCCCTCTCAATTCTCCACACCCTGTCGGGTCCAGGAGAGCCTGAAGGCACTGGCTGCCTTTGAGGGGCTCTCTGCGTGCAAACAATGCAGACCTGCTCTACTTCTCCCCCATGACTACTTTTTATGGAAAAAGAAAAGAATAGAAGAGAAAGAGCAAGTACAGAATTCTCAAAGAACAGCAAGAAAAGTAAATGTGAGAAACCGGCATTCCACATCTCTTCCGACTGGCAGCCAGGAGACAAGAAAGGGCTTCCCAGTAAATGCCAAGTGCTTTGTGCCTCTCCAGAATTTCCCAGGGTTAGGTGAGGCAGGGCTCAATCGTTGGTGTCTTCCTCACCATCCCAGACACCTCTGGCCCAAGCTGGTTACTCTTATATGTGACTGTATCACAGCATCTCACACCCCTAATCCTTAACCATGAAACCTGAATTTAGGGGAGACCAAAGCACTGCTTGCTGAGAATAGGAATGAGCAGGCTGGACAGCCACTGGAGAAGGAAGCTCTTCACCCTAGCTTCTAAACTCCAAATCTGGGATCTCCTTTGGCTGTACAAGGGATGCTTTAATTGCTAAACAAACTCCTCAGGAATGAGTGAGTGGTCCCTAGCAGGAGGCCCACCTCTCAAATGTCGGCATGAAGAGTCACTAGACAGGAAACAGTGACAGGGGTCACTCTCCTATTTGCTAAGGAAAGGAAACAGCTTGGAATATGGATTCAGAATGGAGGATAACAGTGACTGTGAGGAGGCTGTAAAGTGGGTAGCTAAATGAGGCTGGCACACACTGCTCCAGATATCCCAGGTCTTGGGAGGCTAGGTCAAGACTGCAAGTTCCAGGCTAGCCTGGGATACACAACATGAGGGGGAGGGAGAGTGGATGGAGATGGGAGATGAGAGAGAGAGACAGAGAGACAGAGAGACAGAGACAGAGAGAGACAGAGACAGCATTTCTGTGTGTGAGGTTCCTAATGAAGAAAACAAATGAGGTTTGTCTCAGTGGGAGGGCTCATAGTTCTAAGAAGGGATGAATTAACTGCTTAGGAAGTTACAAATCAGGGCAGGCCGCCTCTCCTAAAGAACGGCCTCGTTCCCTGTCAGCACTTTGTTCACACTATAAGGGCTCACTTGCCTCTGCTCCGGTCTCTGGGTTTCTAAAAGACAACAGCACTTACATCCTGGTCATTGCACTCGAGCATGTGTACATGCACAAGCACACACACACACACACACACACACACACACACACACACACACACACGCACGCACGCACGCACGCACGCACCCCTCCAGGGGCGGTCACAGTGACTACCACATGGTAGCTACCTAGAATAAAGGATGGCTTTAATGCTCGAGCTGGACAGTTGAGCTCCAAGTTCACTCACCAAAGAATGGGACCCAAGCCAAAATCTATGGGATTGTTCCTGGAAGGGAAGCCACCTGAGGACATCAGACTCTGATGAGGCAGCCCAGGAAACACCCAGCAAGTAATGTTGTAAATGCCATGATGTTAACTGATGTGCTCATAGCAATCCCCCCAATACATGCCATGTCCTTGAATGGATGGATAAGCAGACAACAAGCTTAACTTATGGGTTCACAGAGCCATTCTGGAAGATGAGTCTAGAAACAGGAGGGTGGGAAAATTAAAAGAAGCAAGACAGGACAAGGCTGCCCCTGGCACCTTGCCTGTGCTAGGTATACAGATCAGGGCAGACAAAAACACTTCTGTAACATGAATAATAAAAACCCAGAGAAAGATATTGGGGTTCAAAGCTGAAGATCAAAGTAGCCAGCCACTAGCTCTTACCTCTACAAAGCTGAAATAGTGACCCTATCTCCACAAATCCTCAGAGACAATGCTCTCCACGAATCCT